CCCTAAAACCCTAACCCTTAAACCTTGTAAGCCAAGGCGCAAGTCAACGGCACCCTCTGCAACGCTGTCAGAGACCTGCACGCAGAGCTCGCCAAGCACGAAGGCCTCGATTTTTTAAGGATAGGGTTTAGGGTTTAGGATTTAGGGTTTAGGGTTTAGGGTTTAGGGTTTAGGGTTTGGGTTTAGGGTTTAGGGCACCCAGGAACAGCTGGATAAGAATTATACTTTACTTATATAGCCCTGACTATCACCTCGAGTATAGACTGTTACTGGGTGGGGCAGTACCCAAGGTAGCTATCAAGTGGGTGCCTTTACATGAGCCTTATAGTATCATGTGGGAGTCCACACCTAGTAACTAGGGTGTCTTTGCAGTCATGCACAAGTTCGTTTCTGGAAGTTACAGGTCCGTTTCGGTTTTTCTAAGAACATATGAAGTCATCCGATCACTTTGTGCTGTATACTGGCGGCCCCTGATTCTGAGAAATCCTCGTTGAGCAAAACAGGCGCAGGCGGAGGTCACGTACGGTAAGCCATACCAGGTATACTTTGCGGTTCAAAGGCCGGATTACAGATATCTGCAGTAGTGACTCAACCGCCGGTCCTCAAAATCCAACTTCTTACATATTTACTCACGAACTCGAAGGTAGAGTCCAAGTAGACTGTAGAACTTCTATCGCTAGCTTCAGGTTGATGGTCTGCGCGAGCCCCTCCATCAACACTTTGCTACTTCGAAGCTCAGTCAAACCACAAAATCCCACCAGCCATCAAAAAGGGCTAAACGCTTGTATCTCCCTAAACTGTAAACTCTAAACCCCGAGTCCTAGCCCCCCAACGTCCAACCCCCCAACCTCGAACTCCAAAGCCTAAGGGAGAAGCCGAAATAACTGGCAATATCAATCTCGAGGTCTACCTGAACCCCAAGAGTATGTAGAATAATGGCCTTGTGGGCCATATTTTGGTGTTTTGGGCTATTATTTTACCTACTTTTGGGGTATAGGTATTTGAGGTACCCTATACCATGTAACATACAAAGAATGTTGAACTATACTTTTAGTACATACTCAAGCTTCTCCCTAAACGCTAAACCCTGAACAACTGTCCACGAACCTTGTGGAACTGACGATTCTCCAGGAATCCCAGGGCGAAGACTAAGGATTGAAGCACCACCTGGTTCAAGGTTTTATGGTGCTATACATGAGGGTTTCATAGGTTAAGTAGGGTTTTACAGCTATCTAGAAGTTTAGGGAAGAAATGGTAGGGTTCAGGGGTCAGGATTCAAGTCTTAGGGGTTGGCTTAGGACATCTTAGGATGTTCTTTGGACAGGGTTGGGCTTAGCGTTTAGGATGTAGCATTATCCAAAACCATGCTCGGTTATGCAAGAAGTCACTGTCAGAACGCCTGAAACTAGGTAGGCATGTCACGAAACACTAGCGCTATGCATACTTCTATAAGTAGCCTAAACCCTAAACTCTAAACCCTAAAAAGGGTATACAAATAATCCTAAGCCCTTGGCCCTAGCCACTAAACGCTAACCCGGACCCTGAACCCCCTGAATCCTTTTGCAACAGGCTTGCATACGTCGTCGCCTGGAAGTGCTCGTGATCGGCGCAGCTGTACCCATGACAGCCGCCCCAACTTTCGAGCAACACGCTCACTTACTCCCCTGAACCCTACACCCTCACCCTACACCCCCCTGAGCCCTAAACCCTTAACCCTTAAACCCTAAACCCTAAACCCCTAAACCCTAAACCCCAATCCCCAAACCCTAATCCCTAAACCACACTTCCCACCGCAGGCTCGAGCCTGAAGGACCTTCTCGGGACCACCGGCGACAGAACTCACCTGAATAGCGAGGTTTATATTGGGATAATGGAAAAGAAAATGGAAACTACTATAATGGGTTAGTATAGGGATTATAGGGTATATATTGGGTTTAACCTGAATAGTTAGGTCGGAGGGGTTGAGGGTCTAGGGTTGAGGGTTTAGGGTAGGGACCTTTCTCGTCATAGGAGGGCCTTATGGAACCTAGGGATACACGGAGATTACCTAGGGACCCTAAACCCTAAACCTACTGGAATCCAGGGATACACGGAGATTACCTAGAGAGTATCGGGATCGCTCAGGAGCCCACCTGAAGGATTATATCATGGATTATGTTGAGAAACTTTCAGGAAAATCTAAGGTTCAGGGTTTAGGGTTTGTGAGTTAGGGTAATGGTCTGGTTTCCAGAGTCCTTGTTTGTGTGCTTTTGCTATCTGACTCGTCTTTCTATCCTAACCCTAGGGAGCCCGATAGCCCAGTAAGATCTACAGACTTTAAGGCCCAATGTAGGCAGATTTCTATACTTGGTTCGCTACATACCGCCCTTATATCCCCGATTCTCCATTATTTGTATAATTTGTATGTCTACCTGGATCCCTAAACCCTAAACCCCTAAACCCTTAAACCCTAAACTCCTAAACCCTAGACATCCCTAAACCCTTAAACCCTAAACCCTTGAATCCCCAGGGTAGGCCAAAGCTAGAATTCATAATCCAGTGGGTTCCTGGAACTTTGAAAATGGGCATCTAGAGGGCCAGGTAGATACAGGGATAACAGGGGGTGCTTCCCAAAATTAAGGTCTTGTTTTGGTATCCCTCAGTATCAGGTGCCGTAATATGATCCATAACAAATAGGGGCCCATGATTTTGGGAACAACCCTGACGAGGATTGTGGAGGGCCAAAGAATGAGCCGGAGTCCTGTATGGCAGGATTCCCGAGCAAAAAGGTACCAAAATGGGACCCTAATTCTGGGAACTACCCTAAACCCTAAACCCAGCCTGCCCCTACATAACCCCTTAAAGGTACCTAAATGCGACCCGAATTCTGGGAACTACCCTAAACAATAAACCCCATATAACCCCTATAGAAGCCCTAAGTGGGACCCTAGATCCCAGACCCTAAACCCCAAACCCTAAACCCCAAACCCTAAACCCTAAACCCCTAAGTCCCCAAACCCCAAACTCTAAATCCTAAAGCCTAAACCCTCAACCCTAATTTGGGGAGCTACCCACCTGCAGGAGCTCGCACTCTTTCAGGATGACGTGCCTGCGGGGTGGCGAATTTGCGGTTCCGGCGGCAGGGTATTACCTACCCATTAGGGTAACATCATAGTGTTTAGGGTTAGGGCTTTAGGGTTTTATGGTTGGAGGTTTAGGCTTTCTTGTTCTAGGGGTTAGGGTTTCGGTTTTAGGGTTTACGGTTAGGAGTAATATTAGCGTTATATAGGGGTAATACAAGGGTTATATAGGGGTTTTACAAGGACTACCCATTGGGGTAATATTAGGGCTATATAGGGGCTATAAAGGGAGAATGGAAAAGGAACATGGAAACTATAGGAGGGTCCAAGGACCCAAATAATGAGGTTTAGGTCCCAAATACCATTCAGATTATGGTATTTGGGCCCTAATACTCCAGTATTTGGGTCCTTGGACCCTTAGGGTAGAAGGAAAAGTGCCCCCAACATGGACGAGAAGAACTTGAGTTGCGGATCAGCAACAGTAGTAGGAGCAGTAGAGGCTGCGGCTGCGGACTTCAGGCTTGAGAGACTATGACTATGGACGCCTGAAACGGTGCTCTAGGTACGTAGGGCGGCCGATGCATCCGAAGTCGTGATGTAACAGGTATACCTAAACCCTAAACCCCTAAACCCTACACCCTAAACCCTGACGGCAAACCAGGACCTTGAAGGGTCCAGGTGCTCAAATGTTGGGGTGTTTAAGTTGCTTGGGGCCTAAAAACCCTGTCACTTGGGTACTTGCACCCAATAGGGAAGCAGCGGAGACAACCATGAGGAGACAAGCCTAAAACAGTTCTAGAACTCCTCCTTCCATGGTGCATACTCCATACTGGGGGCCTCATATTCCCCTGCAAGTCTTGAAATAGATAGGGTCCCAAGAGTAGCTCGACTTTGAGAAAGCCTATATGCCTGGGGAGAGGTACTACAGGGGCCTAAATAATCACCAATATCATTTTGAGTTCCTTTTGAAGTACCCTATACCATAATTATGCACGGAATATGGAAGCATAATATTGGTAATTATTTGGAAGTTTCCCGAAATTACTGTTCCCAAAATGGGGGAAACTTATACAGGGCCCCGTACTATAATAGGAACCTAAATATAGGACCCCGTATTAACAGTAGTTTAGGACAATCCCCATTTAGGCCTCTATATTGTCCAAGCCAACGTGGGGGGGGCTTGTTTCCGAATGTGCCAGGGCCACTAAGTGTAGAACATGCGCGAAAGTAAGGGCTGCGTGTCTGTCAGTGTGGAGATCTGCTGGGATGGTGACGTGGCGCGCCCTCAACTTACTGGTGATTAGTAGGGAAGAAGGGAATATAATCCCTACAGAATCCGCATATCGTGTACTCCCTTAATCCCTACTACCCCCAATAAGTCAACACAAGATCCCAACAAGAACCGCGTTGCCTAAAACCAACCCGCCCAGGAGCCCAAAGCTTTCTACCTAACGTTAAACCTCGTACCCCAAATCCTACAAGTCCGAACCATCACACTTGATGCCCTTTTTTAGGGCTCCATGTCTATAAATAATACCTACATTGGGCCCCAATGTCTATAAGTAGTACCTACATTGGGCTATTTGGAGCCTTAGGGCTCGAACAGAACCAACCATGCAGCCATCGGCACAACTCCTCACGCAGCTGATCGAAGAACGAAGGGTTCCGCTGCCTGAGCTTGCAGCAACAAGTTTGATTTCTGCCAGGACCCTCTCTGTACCCTTAATTGGGGATATATGGTCCCTAATAGTGGGTACTTAGGCCCTAATAGAGGGTAGGAGGAGGGTCTTGGGGATATATGGCCCCCAAAACCCTTTGAACAAATAGTAGTATATAGGGTCCCTTATTAAAGCCATTAGGGAAAATATTAAATATCCCAGGGGCCTACCCAGGAAGTTTGATTTCTGCACAGCCTGGACCCCAAAAGTATGTAAAATAGTAGCCCTAGACCCATAATACTAGCCATACAGGCCATTATTTTACATACTTTTAGGGTTTAGGAGGTCTGCGTCAAGACTGTGGTCGAGACAGCCTTTCCTACTGCGAAGGGAAGACTGTTGCACCACCGCATTTACTGGGTTGCTGTTAAGGAACTTAAATTAAGTTACCATAATGGGTATATATAGTAGATAATAGGGTTTCCCCAATATAGTAACTTAATTTAAGTTCCTTAACAGCGACCCAGTTTACCTTGTACACTTCCAAAACTCCATGGAACCCCGACAGGGTCCCTTACGTAGACTCTCTTTTTTGCAGGGGATCTTTGGGGTTCCATGTCAGCTTGGGGGAGGGTATGCCATCGAAGCTACAGTACCAAGTTCCAGTCAGGTCTAACCGTTCCTCCATACGCCAGGTCGCACTTCCAGCCCAACAAACACACGATCCAAACATTTGGGTTTCCCAAGCCTTTTAAATTTAGGACCTACCTAAAACCCCTCATGAACGAAACTCCGATTGAGGCTTCAGAAGGTCAAGGCGTCTGAATCTGCCCTGGAAGCCTGCCTCCCCAAAAAAATGGTGTTTACTGTTTGCTGAACATCGTGGTCCCTTTTTGGGCCCGCAGTATACTGTGGCCCCTAATACTTTGAGCGAGGGCTGTAATACACTGAAATTTATAGAGCAATCATTAGGACAGAGTATGGCCCGGTCACTGGCGCATCAGCGTGTAGGCAGCATTCAGCTTTCCTCAGCGCGGCTTTGGGAGTGTGTATTGAGATGTTTCGATCTGTGCGAAATCGGGTCCTGTCTACACCCCCCGCCTGCGCGAAGGTAGCCGCAGAAGACAAACATGTTTTTAAACTGCCTTCCTAGTTGGAAGCAACAATCTTTGGAAGCCCGCAGCAAAGCTCATGCAAAGTGGTTCTTGTTAGCAGCGCCCGTATATAGTCCCCCTTAAGTAGATAGAATATGGCTCTGGGTATCTCGTAATAAGATCCCCATGTGCCCCATATTCTATCTACTTAAGGGAGACTATACACCCCAATGGGCTGGGTGGTGTCTAGGGGGATCCCCAGGAGGAGGGGTTTAGGTTTTGGGTTTCTGGCGCTGTGCTTGCAATGAATACCGTGGATTTGGCTGTGGAACAGCACCGCCAGGCATCTACGGTGAGTGCAATGGCTCTTAAACTCAAACGACTAGCTAAAACCTGAAAACTCAAAGCTTCAAACTTAAACCCTCAGCACTTGTAGGGTAACAGACTTCACATCAGGGATGCGGAGGGTGCTTAACCCTGTATTTTGTCAAGACTCCTAAAGTATGGTCCAATACCCTAAAACAGGCCCAAAGGCAATCATTCTACATAATGTGGGGGTGTATGAAGGATGGAAACCTCCCCACACCCTGAACCTTAAACCCTAAGCCCTAAACCCCGCACCCCTAAACCCTAAACCCCTAACCTAAACCCAAACCTTGGGGGTTCAGAGAAACCTGTTTCTGAAGAATAGCCCAGCTTCCAGGCTCCGAGGCTAGACGTGGGAGGAAAAGGGACCAATGCCTGGGAATGAGGGAGTATGATATAGGGTTGTTTGAAATCTTGAGATTAGGGAAATTTGAGAATTTGGAAACCCGAAATGAAGGTAAGTTTATCTGGGCTTGAGGGTTTATGGCTTAGGGCTATTAGGGAGCAAAGTAATATCAGCCATATTCACACTAGCTGTGTACTAAATTCCCCTATTCCTACTACCAGTAAGACAGCGAGGGGATTTGAACAAAAAATGGAGAATGGAACGGAGAAGAACATGAAAAACAACTGGATACCACTATTTAGGGTTTAGGATTTAGGGATCTTACTCTAATAATGGGAAGTCAAGCGGCGGAATGGAAAACAAGATTGCGAGGGGGACTACTAGGGGTTATGTAGGGCCATTGAGTCAATAACGGGGGTACACCGATGTCCCAAAAGAAGGCCTCTTGTTCTTCTAAGGGCCTTATTGCAGAGGTTAGGGTTCGCAAAGTCCCAAGCTTATTTCAAGGCCAGGTGGACCAATGCAGCTTTTTGGTTGAGTGCTCGAAGGCTTGGGCCACGAGTTCTACAGGCTTTTCATCCCCCGAAGTAAATAAACATGGATTCCCAAAATCACGATAAGATCCCCACATACCGCATATTCCATCTACATAAAAGGGACTGTAAGTTGAAGATGTCTAGGCCTGTTGCTGAGGACGAAAAAAAACTTTCCCCACATCCAAAACTACTAGACCTTCGAGCCTTCAAATTAAACTCTAAATCCAGGCCCTATACACTAGTGCTAGCAGTGTATTTCTCAACCTCACCTAAACCCTAAACCCTAAACCCCTAAACCCTAAACCCAGAACCCCTGGCCTAAAGAGCATCAGCCGCTGCATCTCCGTGAGCGTCTCGCTGGCCTCAGCCGCCTCTTCCGGACCCGCCATGGCGCGGACCACGGAGAAACCAAGCACAGGGGAGTATGTCAAGGTTTAGGGTTTAGGGGTAATATTGGGAGAATGGAAAATAAAATGGAAACTACAGGGATTATAGGGGTTATAAAGGGCTTATTTGGGTTCAAGAGAAACCAAGGGTTATATGGGGAAAATGGAAAAGAGAATGGAAGCTACTACAGTATTATGGGGAGTATATAGGAGTTATATAGGAAACTACTATAATGTCCAGGAGAAACCAAGCACAGGGACCCTTTAGAGGGGTTTAAAGGGGATATAGGGATAATGGAAAAGAGAA